GCTGTGAAAACATTAAAAGGTTAGTTAATTGATCTTTTTACACATTGCATTTACATTAAAACTGCTTTATAAGTAAAATTATATCTTTTATAAGTGTATAGTAGTCACCCAATGAAATTTACATTTAAAATTAACAGGCTTCTTACTTTTAGTTTTTTTCAATTACCATTCAAATGCAACTTATGCAAGTGAATATGTGTATGACTGTATGCATTATAAATTTCAGATTTGAGTAAATTACTTCAATTTTGATCAGAATCAACTCAAACTAGACATACAATGTCAAAATATACATAAATTTTAATCAAATTACAGAAATGAAAAAAAATTCCTAGCTATTTACAACTTGAAGTTTGGCCCAAAACAATGTACTTTGTACTTAATCTCAGGCCAATTTTTTGAAAAATTCATAAAAAATTTAATTTTGATCAGAATCAATTCAAACTAGATAGGTTATACAACATTAAAAAATGTATGTGTATCAGAAAAAAATATATAAGTAGAGAAGTTTTTCCTAGCTATTTTTCATAAAATTTGGCCCTTGTGCTTAGAAAATTTAAAAATTTATAGAAAAATCCAAATGTGATTGGAATTACCACAAACTAGAAATATGCATGTGCATCAGAAAATATTATGAAGGTAGATAATTTTCTCCTAGCCACTTTTGACAAAATTTAAAAGTTTCTAAAAGAAACTAATTTTGATCAGACTCACCTCAAACTAGATATACAACATCAAAACGTCAAAAAACTATAAAAATAGTGATTTCTTCTTAGTCATTTCTACAAAAAACCATGAATCAGGGTTTCTTTACAAAGCTATACTTAGCAAGATAAAAACAGCATACCTCATGAGCTGGTTAGAAGATGAGCACTATACTGGTAAACCCTGATTGTCACACTTCCTTGTGTACAGTTTGTGTACATATAATCATAATTATAATGTTACTGAGGTAGATTGAGAACATTTCTTATTACATTTTCTGATGCATATTAATGCTACTATGCTATGTAGCAAGTTTGAGTTGATTCCAACAAATATTTTCAAGTTGCGGCCATTTTAAGAAAACGCCAAAATTCTGAAAAATGTCAATGGTTTTTTTTAATAATGGCTCCAAAATCACCCCAAATTTTTATTACATTTTCTGATACATATTGATGTCCTTATGCTATGTAGCAAGTTTGAGCTGATTTTGACAAATATTTTTGGAGTTATGGCCATTTTAAGAAAATGCCAAAATTTTGAAAAATACCCAAGACTATAGCCCATAGTTTTTTCCAAAAAATGGCTCAAAAAATGCCACAATTTTTTATTACATTTTCTGATACATATTGATGCCCTTATGCTGTGTAGCAAGTTTGAGCTGATTCCGGCAAATATTTTTTGAGTTACAGCCATTTTAAGAAAATGTCAAAATTTTGAAAAATACCCAAGGCTATAGCCCATGGTTTTTTCCAAAAAATGGCTCCAAAATTGCCACAAATTTTTATTACATTTTCTGATACATATTGATGCCCTTATGCCTTGTAGCAAGTTTGAGCTGATTTCAACAGAAATTTTTGAGTTATAGCCATTTTTTAAAAATGCCGAAATGCCGAAAAATACCCAATGCTATATAGCCCATGTATTGATTAGGTATTTAGTACACTATGACAACTCAATCTTGATGAAATTTATAATTACATTCTGTTCAAGCTTAAGCCTCAATTATAATTATGTTATTGTAATTGTAATTGATTTTGCTTGTTTTATAATAATTATTAGACCTTAGATCTTATTTCTTTAATAAAATGAGTTTCTAATTACAATTATAATTGTACTTGACCCCATGTCTGATTTGTCCTTATCAATTTGAAAATTATCTAACTGTGCATATATGATATTCATATTTATATTGAAAACTATAACTTTTATAGGTTTTTATAAAGAGAGGGATATTGATTCCTTACTGGATGAGTGCATTATAATGATGTCATTCAGTAATTTAAATGTATTACCACTGATTGGTGTGTGCCTTGATCTTGGACCAGCTCCATACATTATCATGCCTTTCATGTCAAGAGGAAGTTTATTGTCTTACCTCAAGAAAGAGAGGCCTAATCTTACAGTAGCTGATATCAG